GAAAAAAAATCCAAAGAACGAAGTACATTCTTTTGTCCTCGGTGTCAGATTATTTAAAGTGTGTGAATTCTTAAAAAATAACTGCTAACTTGAAAAACGAAAAGGAAAGATTAAAAATTACATTATTATGAAAGGAAACTTGGAGATTAACCAACTACCAGGAAAAAAAATTCACTATCACTGTCAATACCAGCCCCGGGTGCTTAATTTGGAATTTAGTCCGGACACCATTACGGCTAATTTAGAGGATGGCCGCCGGTTAAGCATCCCAACTACTTGATTTGAAAGAATTAGAAAGGCCGATTTATCGCAATTAAAAAATTATCGTATTTTGCCGGATGGTTATCATATTTACTGACCGGAAATAGATGAAGACCTTAGTCTGCGTGTATTCACTGACGGTTTAGGAACTGGCTGCTGTTAATATGCCAACGATTAGGGGATTTAAAAATAAAAAAGGTTTTCGTTTTTTCTTCACTAAGGTATTCGCGAGGTTTGAAATATTCAGAAGAGAGAATAATTTTATCCGTAGTAGAAGAAAACCGAGCATTCTTTTTAAAAGTTTGAAAGGAGTTTTTTAAATAAATATTCAAAAAAATAAATGTATGTCTAAAAGGATAATTATTGCCCTTAGCGGAGGAGTAGATTCCGCCGTAGCGGCTTATCTTTTAAAAAAACAAGGCTATCAGGTGATTGCCGTTTTTATGCAAAATTGAGACGATTACCTTAATAATAGTCTTAACCAGCAAGAAATTTGTTCGCAAACTCAAGATTGAAATGATGCTGAAAAAACAGCGGAGCAATTAAATATTCCCATTCATAAGGTTAATTTCATTCAAGAATATTGAGAAAAAGTGTTTCTGAAATTTTTAGCAGAATTAAAAAAAGGCTTAACTCCCAATCCTGATATTTTGTGTAATAGTTCTATCAAATTTTTGACTTTGGTAGAATATGCCGAAAGGAACTTTAATGCTGATTTTCTGGCTACCGGACATTATGCTAAAACTGTTTTTGATGCGGCAAAAAAATGTTTTTTAAGCAAGCCGAAAGATTTAAATAAGGACCAAACTTATTTCCTTTATCAAGTTTCTCCATCAATTTTAGATAAAATAATCTTTCCTTTGGCTAATTTAACTAAACCGGAAGTCAGACGAATAGCCGAAGAATTACAATTAATCAACGCCAAAAAAAAAGACTCCACTGGAATTTGCTTTGTAGGCAAGCGAAATTTTAATCAATTTTTAACTAATTATCTTTCTCCAAATGAAGGAGACATAATTGACATTGACAACGGGCAAATTAAAGGCCAACATCAAGGAACCCACTATTTCACTATCGGCCAAAGGCACGGAGTTGGATTAAAAGGAGAAAAAGAGCCTTATTATGTAGTTGGTAAAGATATAAAAAAAAATTTAATTTACATTGCTAAGGGTTGGCAAAATGCTTGACTATATAGTAATTATTGTTGAATAAAAGAAACTAATTGATTAGTGGAAGAAAAAGAATTGATTAATTATTATAGCTCTGAAAATATTACGGCTAAATTTCGTTATCGACAAACCGAGGTAAAAGTGAAAATTTTACCTACCCAGGAATCAAATAAAATAAAAGTTCAATTTAAGCAAGCACAACGAGCCATTACTCCCGGTCAACATGCCGTTTTTTATTATCAAAATATTTGTCTAGGAGGAGGAGTAATTTCGGCCACGGAAAAATTGGATGGTTATAGTAAACCAATCGTTATATAACGTCGCTTTTTCTCGTCTAGTAGAAAATTTATGACTTATATTATTTTTCACTTTCTTTCTCTAATTCACAAATAGCATGAAGTAACCCACTTATTTCTTTCATTATTTCTGGTGAAATTTCTCCTAATTTTCCTGATTTCGGTGCCGACCGTTTTGCCTAAATCTATTCAGTAAACTTCACCTCTTTTAATTGTTTTCTTAATCATCAATGCTATCTCATAATTTTACTTCTTCCTGATAAGCTTTGTCTTTTTCCAAGGCTTCACAAGCTTTTTTTCAATCTTCTTTGGTTAATTTATGATAATCAACTTTTTTATATTTTGTAACTAATTCGGGTTTTTGGAATTCTTCCAAGGCAGTAAAAACTTCCTCTGTCTTTATTTTATTTTTTGCTACTCGTATTTTTAATTCCTGCAAAAAACTTTTATTGTCAATTTGTCTCAACTCGCTCATATTTTTCTTTTTATAATTTTACGTAATTTAACATTTAATCTTTGAGTTTTCTTTTTAAAAACCTTACTAAACAGAGATAAAAAAGCAAGTTTTTTATGGTGTCCTGAGAGGGACTCGAACCCTCGGCTCTTTCCTTAAAAGGGAAATACTCTACCACTGAGTTACCAGGACATTATTCTTTCTTTTCTAAATTAGCAAGTTCTATTTCAATTTTTTT